TCTATCTATCTATCTATCTATCTATCTATCTATCTATCTATATATCTCTCTTCTCTCTCTCTGCTCTCTCTCTCTCCTCTCTCTCTCTCTCTCTCTCTCTCCTCTCTCTCCTCTCTCTTCTCTCTCTCTCTCTCTCTCTCTCTCTCTCTCTCTCTCTCTCTCTCTCTCCGATACTCTACATCTCTCTCTCTCTCTCTCTCTCCTCTCTCTCTGCTCTTTATACCGAATAAACCATCTATAATTCCCGTGGGGATTGTTGTACCACCTTGGGGTATCTTCCCTGTGCTCTCTATGTACTGTTAACGTTGTTGCCAATTCCGTTGTAATAGCATTTGTCGCGTCCAAGACATGCTGAAAGTGGACTGAATTCGGTATCAGATCCTGAATGGAACCTACTCTTCATGTTGAATAGAATGGAATGGAAGAATAGAATAGAATGGAGTGTTGATGTTGGACTGAGCTCGGGATGGAACCTACTCTTCATGTTGAATAGATTGGAATGGAAGAATAGAATAGAATGGAGAGTTGATGTGGGACTGAGCTCGGGATGAAATACCTTAATGGAACCTACTCTTCATGTTGAATAGAATGGAATGGAAGAATAGAATAGAATGGAGAGTTGATGTGGACTGAGCTCGGGATGGAACCTACCTCTTCATGTTGAATAGAATAGCAATGGAAGAATAGATAGAATGGAAAGTGTTGATGTTGGACTGAGCTCGGGGTAATTAAATGGAATATAATGTTACTGTTGGATTGATCACTGTTTTAATTAATTAATTGAATATAGGGTTAATATTGGAGTGTCTTTGATGAAGTAAAATGTTACTGGTAAGTGGGTTATGTCATATAGATGTTGAGAATGAAAGTAATATAATAGTAAATGTGGAGGTAATAGAAGTAATAAAAGATAATAGTAATGAAGTAATATAATGTAATGGTAATATTGAAGTAATAGAGTCAATAGAAGACAATATAATGTTGAACATAACATAATAGTAATGAAGTAACAGAAGCAATGGAAGGTAATGTTGAAGAAATATTATGTAATAGTAAAGTTGAAGTGATAGAAATAATAGTAATGTTGAATTAAATGCAGTGGTATCGATGTATAATTGAACACAATGTTACATGTAAATAGAATGTAATGCTGATCTCACACAGTTTGTTATATCCATGTTGACTTAAACTGTTAGGATTCCTTATAAAATACAATAAAATGAATAATGTATTGATGTAAATAAATAAGATTAAGAGAATAATAGATATAATTCCTGCTTTTTCCCAAGCCCCCCCCCTTTTGGAAAATTTCTGACGACCCCCTCCCCCCCCTCAGTTAAGAACCACTACAGTATAGGAATCATTCTGTGGATTTCAAGATTATAGCAAGCAATCAGCGATATATTTTTTGAAGCGATTTTTTATGAAATAAAAAAAAAAAGAAAAAAAATCTGAAATTATTTGTTCCTGAGCGTTATCCCTAACCAGATTTTATTTTACACTTGTATGCAGAGAAATAATTAGTTGCGTCACTCGGTCTGTCTATTTATCTATCTAATCTTTCTTCTTTCCCTTTCTCCCTCTCTCTCTCTCTCTTTCCCTTCTCTTTTTGCTCTCCTATCTCTTTCTCAAGCTCTCTGTCTCTCTCTCTCTCTTCTCTCTCTCTCTCTCTCTCTCACACCACACACACACACACACACCACACACACACACACAACACACACACACACACACACACACACACACACACACACACCATACTCCTCTCTCACTCTCTCTCTCTCTCTCTCCTCTCTTCTCCCTCTCTCTCTCTCTCTCTCTCTCTCTCTCTCTCCTCTCTCATTCTCCCTCTCTCTCTCTACTCTCTCTCTCTCTCTCTCTCTCTCTCTCTCTCTCTCTCTCTCCTCTCGCTCTCTCTCTCTCTCCTCTCTCTCTCCTCTCTCTCTCTCCTTCTCTCTCTCTCTCTCTCTCTCTCTCTCTCTCTCTCCTCTCTCTCTCTCTCTCTCTCTTCTCTCTCTCTCCTCTCTCTCTCTCTCTCTCTCTCTCTCTCTCTCTCTCTTTCTTTACCGAATAAACCATCTATAATTCCCGTGGGATTGTGTACCACCTTGGGGTATCTTCCCTGTGCTCTCTATGTACTGTTAACGTTGTTGCCAATTCCGTTGTAATAGCATTTGTCGCGTCCAAGACAAGTTGAAAGTGGACTGAATTCGGTATTAGATCCTCAATGGAACCTACTCTTCATGTTGAATAGAATAGAATGGAAGAATAGAATAGAATGGTGTTGATGTTGGACTGAGCTCGGGGTTATTAAATGGAATTATAATTGTTACTGTTGATTGATCCTGTTTTAATTAATTGAATACAGGGTTAATGTTGGAGTGTTTTTGATGAAGTAAAATGTTACTGTTAAGTGGGTTATGTCATATAGATGTTGAGTGGGAGGTAATAGTAATAGTAATGTAGGAGGTGGTATATAGAAGTAATAAAATAATAGTAGTAATTGAAGTAATATTAGATGTAATAGATAACATTGAAGTAATAGATGTCAAAGAAGACAATATAATGTTGAAATATAACATAATAGTAATGAAGTAACAGAAGCAATGGAAGGTAATGTTAAAGAAATATAATGTAATAGTGATGTTAAAGTGATAAAAATGATAGTAATGCATTAAATACAGTGGTGTCGATGTATAATTGAACACAATGTTAAATGTAAATAGAATGTAATGCTGATCTCACGCAGAATGTTATATCCTTGTTGACCTAAACTGTTAGAACTATAAAATACAACAAAAAGATTTATGTATTAAAATCCATAAAGGAGATTAAGCCGATATCATACAACGAATCCGTTTATTGGGTCTGTAGAGCGTATACCGTCTTTTCGTTCATATTAACAAAATACATTATTGTAGTGCTTCTTTTTTTACTACTACGCCCCCCCCCCTTCCCTTGCATCTATGAATGAAATTCCTTCCCAGATTATAAAGAAAATTATATGTTCGTAGTTCTTATTATCAAGTATGAATAAGTTACATTATCATTAAGCTTATTATTTAACTGTGCTTTACTCAAGAGAATAATAGATATGATGCCTGCTTTTTCCCAAGCCCCCCGCCCCCTTTGGCAAATTTCTGACGAACCCCCCCCTCCCCCCCCTCCCCCCCCCAATTAAGAACCACTGCAGTATAAGAATCATTTCCGTGATTTCAAGATTATAGCAATCAGCGATATATTTTTGAAGCGATTTTTGATGAAATAAAAAAAAGGAAAAAAAATCAGAATTATTTGTTCCTGAACGTTATCCCTAACCTGATTTTATTTTACACTTGTATGCAGAGAAATAATTAGTTGCGTCACTTGTCTATCTATTTATCTATCTACTCTGTTTCTTCTTTCCCTTTCTTCCTCTCTTTCTCTCACCTTTTTCTTTCTTTCTCTCTCTCCCTCTCTCTGTCGTTTCTTCTTTCTCTCTCCTCTCTCTCTCTCCCTCTCTCTTCACACTACACACAGACACACACACACACACATACACACTTCTGTCTGCGCTCTCTCTCTCTCTCTCTCTCTCCTCTCTCTCTCTCGTCCTCTCTCTCTCTCTCTCTCTCTTCTCTCTCTCTCTCTTCTCTCTCATCTGGACTCGGTTAATAATCACTTCCTCGTCTGTAACTCATTTTACAATTTCCTTTTCCTGCCTGTGTCAAGTTAGAGATTTCTCTTCATAAACCACTTCCTCTTCTTATGAAATTCCTCTTCATGTAACCCAACTATCCTTATACTCCCTCATTTTCCTTTATTGAAATATTTTCCTTGACCTATGTCAGTTTTCATTTCCTTTCTCCTGTATTTCCAAATATCGTCGTATTCGTTCCACATCTTATAGAATTTTTTCTCTGTGTAAATCATTTTCTTCTGAGCACAAAAATTTATCATGGAACGCTATGTTATGGGATCCTTGCCAGATGCTTTACGATGGGGAATCTTATTCAAAACTCACCGTAGAGGCTGAAACCATTCGTTTTTTAATTCTATTTCTTATCTCTCTTATTTATCTTTCTCTCTCTCTCTTCTCTTCTCTCTCTGCTCTCCCCTCCCTCCCTCCTCCTTTTTCTTCCTCTCCTCTCCCTCTCCCCTCCCTCCCTCCCTCTCTCTCTCTCTCCCTTCCCTCCCTCCTCTCCCTTCCCCGTCCCTCTCCTTCTCCCTCCCTCTCCCTCTTCCTCTTCCCTCCCTCTTCCTCTCCTCTCCTCCTCTCCCTCTCCCTCTCCCTCCCTTCCGCTCTCCCTCCCTCTCCTCCCCTTCTCCCTCTCCTCCCTCCCCTCCCTCTCCCTCCCTCCCTCCCTCTCTCCCTCTCTCCCTCTCCCTCCTCCCTCCCTCTTCCCTCCTCTCCCTCCTCCCCTCTCCCCCTCTCCCCTCCTCTCCCTCCCTCTCCCTCTCCCCTCCCTCTCCCTCTCACCTCCTCTCCCTCTCCCTCTCCTCCTCCTCTTCTCCCTCTCTCTCTCAACCTCCCTCTCCCCCCTCTCCCTCTCCCTCTCCTCTCCTCCCTCCTCCCTCCCTCTCTCCCTCCCTCCCTCCTCTCCCTCCCTCCCTCCCTCCCTCTCTCTCTCTCAACCTCTCCACCATCCCCCCATTTCTCTCGGCGTGGGCTGCCGCAATGACGTCATCGTTGCTTACGGCGTCTTCCGTGACGTCAACCGTGCCCTGCATTCCGCACAGGGACCACGTGGCATCTCCGTGTGCTGCTTCGTATGCCACGCAACACGCTCGGGGCGATCCACCTCCTGCGACTGGCCACAAGCCCGCGAACAACGTCGCGTCGGAGGGATGGCTCGCGCACTCCAGCTTTCGGAACAACATACATTCGCTAATGTCGCCATGACACTCCGGAGCTCACAATCCACTGCTCTCTGGGTGCATTTCGTAAAATATTCCCGAACCGACTCGCCCGGAGACTGCACTCCGCTAAAAAAAAAGAGTCTGTCCAACACACAGCTTGGTTAAGTTGTTGTAACACGTTTGCTCACTGAGTCCAGGGCTCCTGACAGCGACAGAGCCTCCCATCTGGCCCTGGAGAACCTAGCGTCCTGGGCTCCTGACGGCGACAGAGCCTCCCATCTGGCCCTGGGGGAACGGTTTTCCCTGGGCGACGGCGAAGAGCCTCCCATCTGGCCTGGGACTCGCGTCCTGAACGGCTCGGCCCTGTCCGTCCTGGGCTCGCTGGACGGGACAGAGCCTCCCATCTGGCCCCTGGGGAACTCGCGTCCTGGGTCCCCTGCGGCGACAGACCTCCCACTGGCCCTGGGGAACCTAGCGTCCTGGGCTCTCCTGACGCGACAGAGCCTCCCATCTGGTCCTGGAGAACCTCGCGTCCTGGGCTCCTGACGGCGACAGAGCCTCCCATCTGGCCCTGGGGAACCTCGCGTCCTGGGCTCCTGACGGCGACAGAGCCTCCCATCTGGCCCTGGGGAACCCTCGGCGTCCTGGGCTCCTGACGGCGACAGAGCCTCCATCTGGCCCTGGGGAACTCGCGGTCCTGGGCTCCTGACGGCGACAGAGCCTCCCATCTGGCCCTGGGGAAACCTAGCGTCCTGGCTCCTGAACGGCGACAGAGCCTCCCAATCTGGTCCTGGGGAACCTCGCGCCTGGTTCCTGACGGCGACACAGGCCTCCCATCTGGCCCTGGGGAACCTAGCGTCCCTGGGCTCCTGACGGGCGACAGAGCCGGTCCTGGAGAAACCTCCGCGTCCTGGGCTCCTGACGGCGACAGAGCCTCCATCTGGCCCTGGGGAACCTCGCGTTCCTGGGCTCCTGACGGCGACAGAGCCTCCCATCTGGCCTGGGGAACCTCGCGTCCTGGGCTCCTGACGGCGACAGAGCCTCCCATCTGGCCCTGGGGAACTCGCGTCCTGGGCTCCTGACGGCGACAGAGCCTCCCATCTGGCCCTGGGGAACCTCGCGTCCTGGGCTCCTGACGGCGACAGAGCCTCCCATCTGGCCCTGGAGAACCTCGCGTCCTGGGCTCCTGACGGCGACAGAGCCTCCCATCTGGCCCTGGGGAACCTCGCGTCCCTGGGCCCCTGACGGCGCAGAGCCTCCCATCTGGCCCTGGGGGAAACCTCGCGTCCTGGGCTTCCTGACGGCGACAGAGCCTCCCATCTGGCCCTGGAGAACCTCGCGTCCTGGGCTCCTGACGGCGACAGAGCCTCCCATCTGGCCCTGGGGAACCTCGCGGTCCTGGCTCCTGACGCGACTCCCATCTGGCCCCTCGTCTGGCTCCTGACGGCGACAGAGCCTCCCATCTGGCCCTGGGGAACCTCCCCTGGGCTCCTGACGGCGACAGAGCCTCCCATCTGGCCCTGGGAACCTCGCGTCCTGGGCTCCTGACGGCGAACAGAGCCTCCGAGACGGCACAGAGCCTCGTCCATCGGGCCCTGCTCGCGTCCTGGGATAGAGCCTGATTACCCACTGGCCCTGGGGAACCTCATCCGGCCCTCGTCCTGGCTCCTGACGGCGACAGAGCCTCCCATCGGCGGGAGAACCTCGCGTCCTGGGATTAACCTCGCGTCCTGGCTCCTGACGACAGAGCCTGGCGGGGAACTCGCGTCTTGCGTCACCAACGCGTCGGCGTCAGTTCCCGCGTTGGGGCTGCCAGTCGACGACGCCATGTGCGGAAGTCAGCTGAAGTCATTTCCTGGCAGCATTTGTCTGAGGCCGATATGTTCAGGGCCCTTGACCCTCGGCGTTCGGGCCTCGATGTCGCCACAGTCTGCTGCAATGCCCTGATGGCGGCATCGGGCAAGACGAGGGTTGTTTGAGCCCGGCGCCTGGACGTTTCCGAATATCTTGGTCTTGTTGGTGTAGCCATTATTCTGCGGATCGTTGGTCACTGCGCCATGTTGAAGGGATATCAGGCGAGGGTAAGGCAAATGGCTGGCTTACTAACTTGGCTTTATTCGGGGAATAAAGGTGGGCACAAAATAGGACATCCCTACACGAAGGCGGCCCGAGGCGGACTGCCTACGCCTCCCTCTGCATGGGCAGTGTGGGAACTATGCACGTTGCCGCTGTTAGCAGTGTGCTATTACAATAACACACTCTCTCTCTATCTTTCTCTCTTTTCTTCTTTTTTCTTCCCCCCCTCCCCTCCTCTCTCTCTCTCTGTGTATCCTCTCTCTCTTCCTCTCTCTCTCTCTCTCTCTCTCTTCTCTCTCTTTCTCTCTCCTCTCTCTCTCTCTCTCTCTCTCTCTCTCTCTCTCTCTCTCTTCTTCTCTCTTTTCTCTTCTCTTTCTCTCTTTCTCTTTCCTTCTTCTCTTCTCTTCTTTCCTTTCTCTCTTTCTCTCTTTTCCTCTCTTCTCTTCTCTCTCTCTCTTCTTCTTCTTATTCTCCCCCCCCTATCTATCTGTATATCTTTTATATACTTCTGTTCTTTTTTTAACTCTCTCTCTTTCTTCTTCTTCTTTCGCTCTCCCCTCTCTATCTTTCTGTCTATCTATCTATCTATCTTCCGTTCTTTTTTATCACTCTCTCTCTCTTCTTCTGCTTCTTCTCTCTCCCCCCCCCTCTATATATATATCTTTATGTCTATCTATCTATCTGTTCTTTTTCATCACCACCGACGATTCACTCAGCTGTGCTTAATAAATTGAGATTGAAATATGATAGTTTTTTTTTTTTTTTTTTTTTTTTACTTTCTTTTGAACTTACTGAAGCGTGAGGGAAGTTTGTTAGAGGTTAATGGAGAATTTTTTTTTATATCAATATTTCCGTGAATTTCTTATAACCATTCTTGTTTGTTATCTATTTCGGGAGAGAGAGAGAGGGAGGAAGAATGGGAGAGATAGAGAGAGAAATAGAGAGAGTGAGAGAGAGACGGAGGGAGGGTGGGAGAGTGAGAAAGAGAAACAATGAGTGAGAGAAAGAGAGAGAGAGAGGGGGGAGAGGGAGAGTTAGAGGGAGGGGAGAGAGAGAGAGAGAGGAAAGAAAGAGAGTGAGAAAAGAGAAGGAAGAGAGAGAGAGTGAGAAAGAGAAAGAGAGAGAGAGAGAGGAGAGAAACAGAGAGAGAGCGATAGAGAGAGAAAGGGGAAGGAGAAAGAGAGAGAGGAAAAAGAGGCAAGAGAGAGAAGGAAAAAGAGGAAGAAAGAAAGGGAATAGGAAGAAACACGGAAAAGAAAAAAGAACAGAGGGAAGGAAATGGAATAAATGATAATAATAATAATAAAAGGTTTTAGACGAGGAAGACTCCTACTTTTAAGACGCCATCTATTGATATCTAAAATAAACACATCTACTTACAAGAACCTACTTACATAGAACTTTTTTTCCTGGAAACTTCTTACTTGGACCTACTGAGACCCTACTTACTTAGAACTTCTTCCCGGAAACTACTTACATAGAACTTGCTTACTTACAAAAACCTACTTACATAGAACTTCTTTTTGGAGACTACTTACACAGAACCTGCTTACTTAGACCTCCTGAGACCGTACTTACTTAGAAGGTATTTTCGGAAGCTACTTACATAGAACCTGCTTACATGAACTTACAAGAACCTATTTATTTAGAACTTATTTCTGGAAACTACTTACATAAGACCTACTTACTTACTGATAACCTACTTACATAGAACTTCTTTCCGAATCACATAAAACTTATTTACATGGACCCACAAACTACCTACACATAACCTTATTACTTGGAATTACTACTTATTACTTGGTCTTATCTACCTACTTACTTACACAGATTGAAAAGGAGAAAAGGTTGGAAGGTAGAAGACTGGAGTTCGTACCTACAGGATATTACATAGAAATTGTTCACATACCTCGCAGATTAGCGTGTGTGGGTGTGTACGTATGTGTGTGTGTGTGTACGTATGTGTGTGTGTGTGTGTGTATCTGTGTGTGGGTGTCTTTGCGTGTGTGTGTGTGTGTGTACGTATGTGTGTGACTGTGTGTGTGTGTGTGTTTGCGTGTTTGTGCGTATGTGTTTGTGTACGCATGTGTGACTGTGTGTGTTTGTGTACGTATACGTGTGAATACGCTTGTGAATGTATGTGTATCTGTGTGTTTGTGTATATATATGTGTATGTATATGCTTGTTGTATGTATATGCGTATGTGTGTGTATACACGTAAGAGAGAAAGAAAGAGTAAAAGAGAGAAAGAAAATAAAAGACAGAATGAAAGAGAGAAAGGTTTAATAAATGAAAAAAGAAGTATTTCTATGTGAAAAAAATTTAGTGATAATATTCCCCGTATCCTAGACATTTAATAAGAAATAATGTATACTGAACAAATTATGTATACTGAAGAAGACCACAGAGTTGAATGTGACTTTTTCTGATACCATACTTGGTAGCGAGGGATATTTTGTGCAAAACAAAAAGAAAGAAAGAAAAGGAAAAAGAAGAAAGAAAGAAAAGAAAAGAAAAGGAGAAATAAAAAAGAAAGAAAGATAGAAAAGAAAGAAAGAAAGATAAAGAAAAGAATAAAGAAAGAAAGAAAAAGAGGAAAGAAAGAAAGAAAAAGACGAAAGATAGAAAGAAAGATAAAAAAAAAGAAAGAAAAAATCTGTCCATCTCTCTCTCTCTCTCTCTCTCTCTCTCTCTCTCTCTCTCTCTCTCCTCTCTCTCTCTCTCTCTCTCTCTCTCTCTCTCTCTCTCTCTCTCTCTCTCTCTCTCTCTCTCTCTCACTCTCAATCTCTCTCTCTCTCTAACTCTCTCTCTAACTCTCTCTCCTCTCTCTCCCACCCTCCTCCCTCCTCTCTCTCTCCCCCTCTCTAATTCTTATTTACCGTATTTTCTCTTGCCGACAAATTTTATCCAGCTTTATCAATCCCTTCGTTTCTATTTTGCTTTTTCGATTTGTGCTTTCCGTTAGCGCATTTTTTCCGTTTTTTTTTTTTTTTTCTTCTTTTTTTTTTTTTTTTTTTTTTAGCTACATCCGGGACTCCCTCCGGTTACAAGATTTTTTTTCCGCCTCTTCGGTAACACGCGCGATTGAAATGCAAAACAGGCAGGAAAAAAAATAGATTCATATTAAGTGCAAAATAGCTACTGCATGACCTGGCTTGACCTTACGCCGGTTCTATGTTTGATTGCTGTCGGAGTGACCTTGGAAAAGTGAAGGGCGAATTGTCTTTCTTTTTTCTGTCTCTCTTTCTCGATCTTTGTATTTGACTCATTTTCTCTCTTTCTCTCTCTCTCTCTCTCTTTATCTTTCTCTATTTAGCTCTTGGGGCTCTCGGGGCCTTCGTGGCTCATCCTCTCCTGCTCTCTTAGCCTTTCGTAGCTCATATCTCTCGTATGCGTCTTCTGACTACCTCCTCGATCTCTCTCTAGTCTCATCGGAGCGAAGAAGTCGCTAGAGTGACGTCATCTCGCTTTCATCTCAGAGTCTCGGCTCAGGGTCTCTGCTCTCTTTCTTTTTCTCGTTTCTTTGCTCATTTCTCTTCTTCTCTTGATCTCTTTTGCACTCTCGAGGCAGAGGATCGGATCTCTCATCGACATCTTCTCAACTAGGAAGTCCCGTCCTGACAGACAGTCTGTCCTCGTCTCGACATAAGCTGCGTCATCAGTCGTAGTCTCTTCGCTCTCTCAGAGTCATCTCGTCGATAGTCTCAGACATTTGCTCCATCGTGCGATGTCGGTCAAGTGCGGATCTGCGTGGATAGCAGGCACTTCAGGTGTGACGTCTTCTTATGCGAGACATCATTCTCTCTCTCTCTCCATCCTCTCATAGTTGTTCATTAAATATATACTAGTATATGCATCCATACACTAGAGGTATCAATCCATGTAACTTTCAATATGTGTATATGTCTGTTTATGTGCATGTGTGTCTTTATGATTATGTGTATCTACATTTATCAGTACATATGTGCATATGTGTCATTTTCTGTACTGTGATGTAATTCTACCAATTTCCTTCTATATATTCGCCGAAATAATCTATAAATGCCTTGAATTTGAACCAATCGTCTATAAATGCCTTGGGTTTGTTTGCCTCCCTAGGGTGTACCGCCGCCGTGGAGCATCGGCTCTGTGCTCTTTGATTCCCCTTTGTACTATAAACCCCGTTTCCAATTCCGTTGTAATAGCATTTACGGCGTCCAAGACAAGCTGATTGTGAACTGACTTCGCTGTTGATACTGGGTGGAATAAACTCATCGTGTTAATGGAATAGAATAGAATAGGTTAAATGGGGTGTACTGTTGCGTGCCGTTGAGGTTATATTCAAAACCGTGTGTGTTTTGAATAGCGTTTAATAGAGTGGTGATCTGAATGGACTGTGGTGTTGGAGCAGAATTAAATGCATTGAGATATTGATGTTAAATTGAACAGGTTTGATGTCAATTCGCTTACCTGGCTTGTTGATATTTGAATGTTGATGGTGAATGCAGTGCAATATTAATTGCCGATACGAGGG